AAGTGATAGCGAATGGATCATGGTCTCTTATAAGCTTTCGTAATTCAGCGCGCTTTTGGATAGCGCTGTTTAAATTCCACTGGAGTAATGTTGGCATGGAATTTTACAAAAATTTTGTTGACCTTTAATCTGATGCAGTATGTAATGTGGTAATAAGACGAGATAATCTTCCTTTAATTTCTGGAGGAAGGGAATAAGTGATTGAGCTTGAAAGAACTTTTATGAAACCCTGAAAATCATCTGTATATTTTCTAATCATGGGAACAGGCTTTCTCTTCCCTTTTATTTCTTCCAGCAGGAGTAAAAGCACCTCCGATTCGATCTCAAAGTTATGCTTCTCAACAGCTTCCGAGATGGCATGTTGCAAGGTGCAGTGTGAGGTAAAAGGTTCCTCATCAGAAGATTCAGAGAATGAATCTATTTCCTGTTGAGTGGTCAATTGTTTCTTATTTTGTTTTTTAGAGTTAATTTTTTTCCGCGGTTCGACGGATTCTGGGGATGAGCTAGATTTTCTCTTCTTGGGAACATCTGTAGTTTGCGAAATCTCGCCAGTAGTATCCATAATTAAATTTGTTTCCTCTTCTTGACTATTTGAAATTCTGTCCGAAGATAAATCCTCGGTTGAATCTCTGGGGTTCTGAACAATGTGAGAAGCATTGTGTTGTAAATCTTTGTGGAAAACACCCGTGGAGGGGAGATCAGTATTATTGGAATGCGAGACGTTTGAGGAGGAAACCTCTGATTGAGGAGCATCAGATTGGGGTTCATCAACTGGATGAGTTTGAGGAGATTTTTGCTGAGGCGGGATGGTTTGAGAAGTACTACTATGAGAAGGATTTTTAGATGAAATCTCCAATTCCCGTGTTTTGACTGTTTCAGATTGAATATTAGCAATTCTTGTATTGATGTTTGCGCCAGTTCGCGATGTTTGTTTTTCAGTCGTGTTTATTGGTTTTGTATCTCCAAAAGTTAGGAATACCTTTATTTCTTCGCCATTATGGTTAATGATTACTGAGGGGGGGAGCTGGATATTTTTTGCCTCCCTTTTGACATAAATTTGTCTACGAAAAGACAAAACATGAGCAAACATAGGATCTTTAAGACCTGTAGAAACGCTCTGCATCTGAGAGGTTGGTGTAACAAATTCAGAGACAGCGTTGATGAGTTTTTGATTAGGTAATGTAGGAATGACATTAGAAAATATTAATCTGACATCAGGATTAATCATTCTTCGGATAACCAATGGGCCTTCTTTCGTGTGTAAGTATGATCTTTTGAGCAGTTTCATCTACGGATTTCCTTGACTTGAAATAGATACAAATTATATTAAAGGAAATCCGAGATGCATACAAGATCTCACTAGGAGAGACGAATTTACTAATTTGTTGAAGGTACTCCAAAAGAGGGATGGAATCATGGGCTGGAATTATTAAAGCGTGTTCTTTAGTAATTGAGGGGGCTGTATCGGCAACAGCATGAGCAAAAGAGAGGTTGGGTTTGATAAGGTTATTATTGTTATTTTGATCACCTGTTAAGTTGGTAGCAGGGGCATGGGTGATGTTGTTATTCTGAGAGGTAGAGATTGAAGGAGTTACATCATTGGACAAAGGACTCAGCTGAGAGGACGTTGGAGACAACTCATTCGTGGAATTTTGGGAAACAATGCATGAAACAGCTGTTTTAAAGTTTTTCACTTTTCCCTTCTTCATAATGGAGCTTGGAAAGCAATTAGTTCAAAAATACAAGAGATCTTTCAGTCACTCCACATAATTGCCGAAGTAAA